CTCAAGAAATCTGCCGCATGTCCTGGTTTCTCATAGAAATGGACGAAGGTCAATCAAATGGTGGCAAAATCAATGGACGAATTATCTATGGTGTTATACATTCGATAGATATAATAGACAGTGATTCGACCTACATGTATATCAATCGTAAAGTTCGTTTTAACTGGAACCATGCCATTATAGAGGGCAGAGTAAAGTTGGCCTCCGATGATCGTTTCTTTGTCGAACAACAATTTAAAAATTTGTCCAAGAGTAATGAAGATGCCATGAAAAATTTGAGTCTATCGAAACGTTTTCTAGTGCAGTATAACAAAGGCGCCGGCACAATAGTACACGCCATTGTCCATCAAAAGGAAGTTGTTTGGCCAACAGATGATTTTGAAAATTCAAACATAAAAGAGGTTCTAATACGTGATGGCAAAATACAAAGAATGGCCACTGTATTACATGTCAATGATTCCGATGATTTAATGCAGAAAGAGTTAGATGTCCTTAAATCAAGATGTTTTGATAAGGTAAGTTTTTTATTTTTTTAAGTAAAATAAAATCATATATTTAATATTAAATTTATTTACTTTTTAGGCTTTCAACGATCCAAATGACAACAACGATATTGAACAGACACCCTGGCTTTTAGTACAATACAGCAATGGACCTTCTAATGTCATCTATACCATTGTGCATGTGGCCGCCACTGTTTGGAGATCAACAAACCTCTATCCTAATCTTGTGGTATATTTATCAGAAAATGAAACTGTCTACCAGGCAATTATTATACGCAAAACAAGGGATCGTAATGAACTAGACACTGAATTGCGTAAACTCAAAGACTCCTGTTTAACATCTAAATTTCCTCTCGCTACATGTGTAAGTAAAAAATGAGAATAATTTCTATAACAATATGTTAGTTTTAAAATGTAGTAACGTTTAACCTTTGCCCTAATATAGTCAATGGTTTCTTTACAGTCAACGACAAAGTTTGCTTTGCCTCCCGTGGATCATCAGAGTTTGTGTGCCAAACCCATAAATGTTGTGGAACTTAAACGTGATACATTGCAAATAATCAGAAACTAACAGTGATGGATGAAATTTAATTTGGTATTTAAGAAATTGTTTGACAATAAAAAGTTGTAGTAGTATAAGAATAAAATTTAAAATATATGCAAAAACCTTTAAAAGGTCCATAAAAAATGATAGTTTTAAAATTTTATTTATAACAAGCTTAATCGGGCCCTAATCTGCCTTTAAAATTTAAAAACGATTTTGGTGTAATTAACTAAAAATTTAAACGCCATCTATGGGATGAAGAAAAGGTCTTCTATCTAATCTGAAAATGCCCTGCTCTAGCCGTTAAGAGAAACCATTTCTTGGCAGTCAATCAAGTGCCGGTAGAGGTAGAAATATTGGCTAAGAGTCTTTCAATCTCTCTTTTCTTCAGAAGATTCTATGATCGAAGTTTATCTCTCGTTTTATAAATAAGCTACACGTCAAAGTACCATCATTAAGCTTGAGATTTCGTCATAAATAAAAAAGTACTGTAGGATATACGATGGAGATATCCGATATGGATATAGTAATGGAAAATTGAGTCGAATGTTTGTTTTATACTTTTTCCCAAGTCCCAATTTTTAAACAAGAAAATTGATGAAGTGATACATTTATTTTTCTAGTCCCATACAGTCGGTCCCTACAAATAGGACTTTAGATACTTTAGAGTTTCCAACTACTTATTCTTACTTATAAATGCAGAAAATCACGTCTTCTGTTATAATGACTATACCCTAATTTACAGTCATCATACTTACCAATCATGATCATCAGAGTAGAGTAGAGACTAGGAATGCTATCTTGGACAAAGTAATGTCGTGCTGTACGTGAACAACTGCCGTGTTGGCCTATTTCGTGGTGGTCTTTTTCAACCACTGGGTGAGCGACGGCTCATCGCCGCCCCATTATGCTTCTTACACGCAGGTGCCGAGATTTGGTTCTTACTCACAGTGACTCACTGTGGTAAATTTGGTATGAACAGAGTTTACTCTGAACATATCTGGACAAGGAAGGAAAATTCAATGGTATTACTTGTATAAGATACTTTTCATCCATCACCATTCAACCCTGCACACTTCTCATTTATCCAGCACACTCATAAGAGAACAACATACGACAGACTCACTCTAGGTATAGGGTCGGATGACTTTCGTACACCCCTACATCCTGTATCGTATACAATTAACACCAACTCATTTCCAACGCTTAGTCCCACAGCCACTCCTCTGTGGGGTATCTGTTGTCATTCGGCAACAGCACCGAACTTTTCCCGAAATATAGATTTCACCGTACGTCTTTTAACCGCAACTTACTCTACCCGCGAATTTGGATTTAAATCACAGCCACTATGTTGATCCAAAGGAACCTCAACCAACAGACCAGCTAGGACAAGTCCTGCGGAAACTGGCCACCCGTAGTGCCATATTATGGGGTTCTCTGGTCAGATCCCATGTCAAATCATTCCAAGGACTAGCAGAGGAGTGAAATGACATTACCAGTTTATAGTCCCGGCAGACTAGAGGTACTGGTAGCACCTCTTTACCCCGGAATTGCAAAACACTAAGATGAGGGTCTTTCATCAAGGAAACTTGCCCCGGGGGGCTACTTTGGACAGTCCAATATTGTAAGGCTTCTTTAATCTATGCAATATTAAATGGTGTATTTGGTTTTCTTTGAGTCTATATCGGACATGCGAATCGCTGAAGTCTTCTTAATGACAAGCTTGAAATCAAATTTCTAGAAATCAGTCTGCGTGTATGAAAAAGTTATGTTATTAAAAGTTAATACGTATAAGTTAATACCAACCATTTAATTATTATACCCTCCACCACCATCAGTGGTGATAGAGGGTATATATAACTTTGTCATTCCGTGTGTAACACCAAGAAATATTCATCTGAGACCCAACAAAGTATATATATTCTGGGTCCTTATCAAATTCTGAGTCGATTTAGCTATGTCCGTCTGTCCGTCCGTCCGTCCGTCCGTCTGTCTGTCTGTCTGTCTGTGTAAAACACCCTCACGTTAAAACGAAGCAATATAATTTAACCAAATTCTCCAAAAATATTCATTATTATCCGGTACAGTTTGGTATTGAAAATGAGAAAAATCGGTTCACACCGGGAAAAGTTATGACTCAAAATTTAAAACAACCTCGAAAAAAATAAGCATTTTTCACACATTCTGATGTAATTTTCTCGAAAACTATGCTAGATAATTTCATAAAAATCACCACACATTCGTTTCTGCACAAGAGCCTGACCCATGCTAAAAATTAAAAGAATCGGTCCACAATTTCATATACCTCCCATACAAAAGTACATATTCCCGGAAAATGGTTTTTTGTTAATAACATCCGTCACAATGTCGATATCTTCACAAAATTTTACAAAATAAAATCTTATGTCGATACAATTCATTCAGAGAAAACCTTTTTTGGATCGGTCCATAATTAGACATACAAGGTCCCCTCCCAAAAATCACTTAAACGCTCATAACTCATTACTAAATTAAGATATCCACATAAAATTTGGTACAAGTATTACCCATATGCAGAAATATTACTGTGAAATTTTTCTCCGATCGGTCCATAATTTGTCATAGCTCCCATACAAGGTCCCCTCCCGAAAATCACTTAAACGTGCATAACTCATTACTTAATTAAGATATCCATATAAAATTTGGTACAAGTATTGCTTATATGCACAGAAATATTACTGATAAATTACGGTCGGTCCATAACTGGTCATAGCTCCCATACAAGGTACCCTCCCGAAAATCACTTAAACGCACATAACTTATTACTAAATTAGGATATCCATATCCATTGGCAGAAGTATTGCTCATATACAAAGAAATATTACTGTGAAATTGTTTTCCTATCGGTCCATAATTGATCATAGCTGCTACACAAGGTCCCTTTCAGAAAAACACTTAAACGCACATAACTCATTACCAAATAGTGATGTAAATAAATACTATTTTTGTACATAAATACTATTTTTGTACACATAAATGTTATTTCAAAATTTTTCACGATCGGTCCATTCTTGGTCATAGCTCCCATACAAGGTTACGTCCCGAATATCACATAAACGCACATAACTCATTACCAAATATTGATATCCATACATTTAGCAAAAATATTGCTCTCATATACATAAATTACACTATAAAATTGTTTTACGGTCGGTCCATATTTGGTCATAGCTCTCATACTAGGTCCCCTCCCGAAAATAACTTAAATGCACAATATATCTTTATACACATAATTGGTCATATCTCCCATACAAGTTTTTTTTTACGGAAATTTCTTAAACGCACATTACTCATTACCAAATAAAGCTATAGATACAAAATTTGGCACAAATATTAGTTTTGTATACAAAAATTATATTTCAAGATTTTTTCACGATCGATTCATAACATGGGTGCGGTCGGTCCCATACAAGGTTCCCTTCAGAAAATCACTTAAACACACATTAGTTATTACTAAATTACGATATAGATACCAAATTTGACTGAAATATACCTTTTACGTACAGAAATTTTGCTTAAAGAATTTTTTACGATCGGTCTATATTTGGTCATATCTCCCATACTAGGTCCTGCCCCTAAAAGTGCTTTAACCGTATTTAACTAGTTGCATTATCATTTTGTGTAGAACAAAATTATATATATGTATTTTGAAAGTCCTTGAATCTTTCACACACATGCATACATACAAACTACTAAGCGCTATAAAAATATAAAAGAAATTGGCGTTTGTTTTAAGTGGTTTAAATCTTGGGATTCTTCTATTTAAGACATGAGAAAACTTATTTCTACAAATAATTGATCAATTAGAAAAGTATTAATATAAAAGTAGCTGGTGGAGGGTATTTCAGATTTGGCTCAGCCGAATATAGCACTCTAACTTGTTTTTAGATACATTCTATCTCTTTTATTTATAGACTCAAACTTTGTTCTAAGGGCACCGGCATTGGAAAAAATAGACGAACAATCTGAGAAAAGCACATCATCTATAGAAACTGAAAATTGCGAATTAAAGTCAAAACAATCTATTACGAACATTTATCGTTTAAAAGGAGGTTGGAGTTTGGTTAATCGAAAAAGTAGCAAGAAAACCACAAATGAATATAATTCTGCTAATGATAATGGGTGAGTTTGAAATATAATTTAACAAAATTCTAGTAATAAGTTCCGAATTTTCTTAAAGGCGGCAAACAGATGACGTTGAAAATAATATTATAGTTAATGAAGACACAGAGGTAAATAGGGAAGGAGTCTCAGATCAGATAGAATCTTCTAATACAACTACAAAAATTGATAATGAAAATATCAAAGAGTCAGAAAAGGAGAAGGAAATTTCAAGAGAATTACAACCAGCTACAAATAAGATTGATTTGAATAAGAATCTTGAAATAAATCAGCCAACTGCTATCGAAGGAAAAACGATTTTGGATACAAATTATTCAACGAATCATAAGTTGGAATCTGAACTAAAGAGTACATCTGCGAAAACATTGATAACATCATCCTTTATTACAACTGTGCTTGACGAAATGGTACCAATTTCCGAAAAACCTATCTTGTCATCATCTTCTACAAAATGTGAATTGAAAGATCTGATTGCAATTTGTGGAAAAACTAATAAAACAAATAGTCAGTGTGATTTGCTTGATATAAATTCAAACGTTGCTGAATTAGCATCCGATTTATTTTGCATATTAGCTGACGATAAAGAAACTTGTAAAAGGATTGAGGAACTAGAAATACAAGTAGAGCACTTGCATCATGATCTTAAAGATCTTCAGAAAGAGCTAATGCCACTTGATGATCTGGCTAAATTTAGTGTTCTTTCTAGACAGTTTAATGAAGTTAACGCTCTCTTAACAGATTTAAAATTAAATTGTTTAAAATTGCAAAATATTGAAAGAAAGAGAAGTAAGGAAAGTATACTTGAGGAGATGGCACATTGTTCTCAGCGAAATAATCAACCAGCAATGGACATTCCATTCTACGATTGCAATGATGAATATTTTTATCCACCTGAATATTTGGAAAATTGCAATTGTGTTATATGTCACAGATCGCATTTTTTACCCTCTGAAACCGAAAGAATTGAGCATGACCCTGAATATCATATCGAAAAGCGACCCAAAATACACGAACGACCCAATTCTGAGAGTATTGGAGGTTTTGAATATACTCCAACAAATTTTGCCTGTTGCCAACCCTGTCAGTTATATAGAAATTTCTATACCGATCAAATATATTCCTCGACAACTCCCGAAAATTTTGAACGACCAACACAGCACTATAATACCAAGGGATTTTCAAGATTTGAAGGTGATAAATATGATGCTGATTGGAGTACCTCTCCAGATAATTCCATACAAAGTACAAGTCCAAAGCCTTATAAACGATTAATTGAAGAATCAATACAATTTAATTCGATTCCATCATTAAAACAAGACAAACAAAACAATAATAAGAAAGTATCACAACGCGGAGGAAATCATTCTATAAGAAAATCATACAGCACTAAAATTAGACACTCAGCTGGTACGGAAGTATTATCAAATCCATTATCTTATGCTGAAGAAAGATTTCAAATCGATAATCTTTCAGTTTCAACTACAGAATGTCCTACAATAACAAGCAACTTGTGCAAAGCAATCTGGAGAATTGTTGGCAATATAAAGAGTGAAAATATTGCTTTAGCAGTATTTTTAGAATCAAATAATTTATACTACATTAATGTCTCTATTACACTGACGGGACAGTGTTTAGGCTGCCTTTACACTAATGAAGCGGCATTTCAAGCGGCTAAGAAGAAAAAATTATTTGATAATTTTTTAACATTTTTCGTTTTGAATTCTGTGAATACTGTGGAGCAAAGAGATACAATTTTGGGTCATTCGTTTGAATTTATTAATGCAAGTGATTAAGATATTTGTGAAAATATTAGATTTTTGAGATATGTATTTTGTTTTTGGAAAATGTTTGTAAAAATTGTGTTATTTCCAATCACCAAATTAAAACAAGCAATTTTAAAACATTTTTTATATGTGAACAATAATTTTAGTTTTTTTTTTTGCTCCTTAAGGGGGGTTTGCAGCTATACCAAACTTCTGGAAATTTTCATAATAAGTTCCATATGGTCGGTCACGCCCGACTATACTTCCTTACTTGTTTCCACTGTATTCAATCGTTTTGACTACACCTTCAGCAATAAAAACAAGTAAGAGTGTTATATTCGGCTGTGCCGAATCTTGTATACCCACCATCAAAACATTGTCGAAAAGAAATGCTTCCTTATGAATAAATTTTGATATTTAAGAATCGATGCTTTCGTTATTAGGATAAATTATGGACTGATCCTCCTAAAATTTGGTAGAGAAATTTTTATCGAATTTTATTGCTGTACATGTATTTTTAAGGTAGTAATAGCGTTGAAATAATTTTCTGAGAGGGACCTTATTTGGGGGGGGAGGTTTGGACAATTATGGACCGATCCTCGTCAAATTTTCTAGAACGATTTTGGTTTAGGCTAGTAATGAGCTTTAAAGCCATTTTGTGAAGGGGGCCTTATATCGGGGTAGGGTCAATTATCAACCGATCCTTACAAAATTTTGCAAAGCGATTTAGGTTCCTTATATGGGGGATAGGGTTAATTATGGACCGATCCTTATAAAATTTTACGATGATATTAAGGTTCCTATAAAATATGTTCATGTCGAATTTCATTGCTATAGATGCTTGTTTTGGACAGTTATGAGCGTTAAAGTCATTTTCTGAAGGGGACCTTATATGAGAGCTAGCCGAAGTCGTGTTTTAAACAGACAGACAGACGGTAATAGCAAATCAAATTAACGAATAAAGTAAAAAATTGGGACGAATACGGTCGAATTGTCATATGGCTTTTCAAATAGTCTTTAATAGGGGTACTTTCTATAGTAAATTTCTATTAAAGTCAAACGTCAATTTGATCAGTGGAATGTTGGTAATTTATACGATAAAAAACATTTACTAATTTCGATGTTTGAAGATTTCAATTCCAGATCATTTATTACGACAACTAGGAATCAGTTCATCATCACTTTATGAATCGATTTGATGAAATTTGGCACATACCCTTCTCTTGATCCAATAACGAAATTTGCTGAAAATTGATGAAGTCGGTTTAATCGTAACCCCGAATAGTGCGTCCACAAAAGTTGACACAACCTAATTTCTCATAAGTCAAAATGATAATGAAAATTTTCTTAATAATCGACATTTCTAACAATCACTAGTGTAGGGTATCATATGGTCGACCATGTCTGACTATTGATTATTAAATGTTAAACAAATATTTGTTTAATAATTACTAATTTTAAATATGGAGGAAAATATATCTTAGATGAACCAATTTATATTTTACACTCAAATAAAGTCTTCACTTAGTTAATTGTCCAATCTGCCTGCTGTATATTACTTTGAATCTAATAGATTCAATCTATGCGTTCACTCAGAATACGTACCATAATACTAAGTACATATTGAATTGAAAATCATATTGAATTGAAAATCGTTAGGGCACTGGCACACGTTCAATATATATTGATCAATTTGGATCACGACCCATTTTAATGGATTGATGAATACCTCGGGTATGCTACACGTTCAATATTTTTTACGTCAGTATTTGCAATATTTTATGGTATACGGGTCAGCAGATGATTAAACGAATGCCTCGAAAATCCGGAATTAACACAAATGGTTGTATCATGAGAAAAAAGTAATTTTCTGTTATATTTTTTAACAACTTTTAAAACAATATTTCATTGTTATTTGTTTTATTTTATTTATTTTTCCAAATTTTATAAAAGTATCGTGATTGATATCACAAAACATGCTACACCTTCAATATTTATCACGTGATCCATTATAAATATTGATAATAATTTTGGATTTCACAAAATTGGGGTTTTCTGTGATATGGAATACGATCCATCAATATTACATGCTACACGTTCAATACATATCACAATACAGCAAATATCACGATATATATTGAACGTGTGACACTGCCCTATCGTATACATATCTCGCCCACTTTCTTAATTCAGTTTCCAGTGCGCCGAACGGTTGTTCTTTCGTCAGTTTAACTTCCTCGAGTTCCCATCGCTTCGCTCTTTCGTTGCCGATAGAAGAGTATTCGGTAAAGGCTGCCTTACAGCCAGAAGGCTGAATGCAAATATGTTATTTGTATTTCCTGTCTGTATTTGTGTATAGCCTTCTACTTAATGTGTACAAAGAAGTCCACGAAATTAGTAAAATATATCATGTTAAAATGATGACATAAAATCCTATTGTTTAAGTTAGTTTTAGCCTTCTAATCTCTTACTTTTCAATGTAAGTTTTTACAGGGTAAGTTAGAACGCTTTAATAAACGCAGTGTGTCATAGTGATACTTAAGCTTCATTTCATGTCTATGGATCTTAAACAAAGCGTCCACAAACGATTGATTTCATCATGTAGGTGGAGATTCTAATTTACTTTTCTGTCAAACATACACTTAAGAACTTTACTCCGTCGATCATCTGTAGGTATTTTCTTACACATGAAACAGGGTTTAATGTACTCTTAAGTTTTCGTATTTCTTATAAAATGTCAGATTTCTGGCTTCGCCAGGTCAATTGAGTTCAGCTTAAGGCCATAGTCAGAGACTGTATGGAACTTTCATACAATTCTTAATCGTAGATGGAAATTAACTTCGATTTATATTAAATTGGGACAAAGATTTGTAAATGAAAGATTGACATATTTCTTTTTATGGCAAATAAAGTAATTGCGAATATTCGTTCTGTATATTAATAACAAACTTCTATCTTAAGAAATTTATTTTAAATTTATGGCACTTACTTTGATGGAGAGTGTGTAGGATTCGACATAACCGAACTCGTTATTTGTTTATTCTAATTTCCATTTATTGACTATTGATTTTTTCCATTTTATTTTTCAATAAATTTTAATTGACACTAGTATATTTTTAAAAGCAGAAAAAACAAAAATCTTATCTTTGTATTACTCCACTCCTTTTGAACGCAAATAAAAACAGTACTGATGAATTAGTAAAAGACACTATAACTCAATGCAACATGTTAAAGAAGTTGAAACTATCAAACAAAAAACTGCTACCAATTTAAATACCACTCAACTTACAACGAATTACAAAATGCTGGAACCCAAAGAAACCTATGCCCGTATACAGAGTGTAAGAGTGAAAAATTTAGAGCAACAAGTTTATATGCTGCATAGAGAACTGCAAAGAATTCGGGAGAGAATGTTGCCAAAGGAAGATCTAATAAGGTTAAATAATATTTTGGATAGACTAAAGGAACTTAATTTGGTTTTAACAGATCTTAAAAATCACTATAATAACATGCAGCAAACTACTTTGAATAAAAAAGAAGAAAGTATGACGTATAGAGTTAGTCCTTCGGTCCTTAACCATACACAACATATTCAGCAAAGTGAAAATCTATTAGGTACGAGTCAAATGGAAACTGCCAGTGGTACTAAATATATAAAATATTACCCAAGGGAAAATGCTGGATACGATCAAAGACATTCTTCGAAAACAACTATCGAACAAGAAAATAATTCTAAGCAAAACCAAATAAATGAAGAAGATTCCATACATGAAGAAAACAATGAATTGAATGAACCCTTTAAAACTTGCAAACAACTTATGGATGAAATAAAACCACCAGGCAGCATTTTGGGAAACTATTTAATGAAATTGCAAGATTTTCGAACTGATCCGGAATTGAGACGTAAAAGATGGGAGAAAAAACAACAAGAAAGAATGCAACAACTAGAGAAACAAAAAAAATTGAGAGAATCTTTTGAGAATAAAGGAACATCAACAGAGGGTATTGAACAGAACAACACTAATTATTCTAGCTCTACCATGCAAGACTCATCTGAACAGCAAAAGGATGTTATAAAAAGTAGAATAGATATCTCCTACAACCGACCAATTAGTGAAACTGATTCAGGTTTAGCTTCTGATTTGCCATTAATAAGAAATAATCTTTCGGATGTAGTATACGAGATCATAAACGATATTGAACGGAATTCCATAGCTTTAACTATTGTTCTAGAAAACGATAATGTTTCTTTAATTACCAGTGGCCATACGTTGTCCTGCTTTTTTGCCACTGAAGAAGCCATACAAGAGGCTAAAGAACAACATTTATTTAGAGAGATATTGACATTTTTTGTAGTAAATGCTGAAAACTCCGACTCGCAAAAGGATCGTGTTTTAGGACATTCATTTGAGTTTATTAAATTTGATGTTAATTAATAACTGTTTGTTATTTCGTTTGTAAAATACATATTTTTTTAGAAATTTATATCGTTTGCATATTTTGTATTAAAAACCATAAAATCAATTCGTTACTTCCTTTTATCTACAATTCCTATTTAGTGACATATGGTCCACCAACTGTTTATTGTGTTATTTTTGTTGAAAACACTTTACATGTTTAAATCTAAAATATTTGTTGATTTGAAACTCAGCAATATTTTTCATTGTTTTTACTTCAAATGTAAGTAACAGTATTATATATACTGTTTTATACTATATGGATTTCTAGTGATTGCATTTTATACATATGTGCATATACTACATGTATGTACTATATCGTTATTTCATATGAAAAAGCCCTAAAGACAATTTTTATTTAAAGGGAAATTAAGCGCATGAATATACAGTTAGTTAGTACTAAATTCATGATAACCCACCGCCAAAATTAAATTCGCTTTTTGTGGAAACTAGAGCCTACTCTATTACGATCCTCTAAAAACTCTCATAATGTGACAGTTATTTGTGTTGAATTGTACATGACACTCTCTGAGTGACATTCGAAAAGTTATGGACTTATCATTAAATACTTTACACGATCCGTAGAATATGAAGATACATTTTCTCAATCGGTGCAGTAGATAATCAATTGAATATACATATTTCATATTGGAAGAAATCAAAAATATTTAAGAGTGCTATGTATATTCGGCCGTGCCGAATCTTATATACCCACCATCAAATCATGTGTCATGCTACCACAATTTATTCATTTATTAGATTTAACAGATTTATCGTATATAAATAGCAGTATAGTCAGGATGATGGTAGTTCTTATTTTATTATTTTTAAATGATTGATATTGATTTACTGTAAATTTATTTATGATAAATTTTAGACCGATCTTAGATATGGACCGATGCTCATAATAATTGACAGAAAGATTTTAGATCCTATAAAACTAGTTAATGACTAATGTCATTCTATGAGAAGGACCATTTATAAGAGATAGGGTCAATTATGGACCGAGCCAAAAATACTTTTACAGTTAGATTTATGTTCCTATAAAACTTGTTTATTTACTATTTTGAAACAAGTTATGAGCGTTATATTAATTTTATGAAGGGATCTTATCTAACTACTATGTTAGTTAGTTATTTAGTTTGTTTGTTTGTTTGTTTGTTTGTTTGTTTGTTTGTCTGTTTGTTTGTTTGTTTGTTTGTTTGTTTGTTTGTTTGTTTGTTTGTTTGTTTGTTTGTTGTTTGTTTGTTTGTTTGTTGTTTGTTTGTTTGTTTGTTTGTTTGTTTGTTTGTTTGTTTGTTTGTTTGTTTGTTTGTTTGTTTGTTTGTTTGTTTGTTTGTTTGTTTGTTTGTTTGTTTGTTTGTTTGTTTGTTTGTTTGTTTGTTTGTTTGTTGTTTGTTTGTTTGTTTGTTTGTTTGTTTGTTTGTTTGTTTGTTTGTTTGTGTGTTTGTTTGTTTGTTTGTTTGTGTGGCAGAGAGATTTATGTTCACCTAAAATTTCTTTTCGTCGAATTTCGTTGCATTACTATAATTTTGAAGCAAGTTATAAGCGTTATAGTCATTTTCTGAAGTACATTGATATACTGACATAATTTTCTGAGAGGAACCATATATGAGGCTAGCGTCAATTATGGGTCGATCTCCATAAATCTCTCGGCAGAGAGATTTCAGTTTCCAGAAAACTTGCTTTTATCATATTTCGTTGCTTTGCTATCATTTTGAAGCAAGTTATGAGCGTTATAGTCGTTTTCAGAGAGGGGCCTTATATGGGGGATAGGGTCCCCCATCCTCATAAAATTTGGTAGGGAAGTTATGGTTCATATTAAAATTGTTTATGTGGAATTTCAGTGCCATACTGATGAATTTAAATCAGCTATTACTGTTTACATTGTTTTTCGGAGGGCCACTTGTATGGGGGCTATGCAAAGACATGGACCGATATGGCCCATTTTCAATACCAAACAGTGCCTATCAATGAAGAATATTTATGCAAAATTTCAGCTCTCCATCTTCTCTCGTTTAGGCCTATAACAGACAGACGTACGGGCATGGCTAGATCAACTTAGAATTTTATAAGGTCCCAGAATATACATATATACTTTTATGGGTCTATGATCAATATTTCGATATGTTACAAACGGAAGGATAAGAACAATATACCCCCATCTTTTTTGATGGTGGGTATAATTAATTATTTATTTTTTAAAATAAAAAGCTCTGCCAATAGCGTATTATTTTCTTGAGTTGTCGAATAGTCAATTTCGAGACAAATCTATCAAGTTCATATTAAATGTTCGACTTAAAAATTTTCTAAATATCATTAACTATTTGTTAGTCCCTTTTCACATTTTAAGTTAAGCCATACAAATGTTTGTATATTTTTGTTATTTATGTAATTTCTATTTATGCATCGACTATCTAAAATAATATATTCCGGAAAAAAATAGAAGTCATATGAACTATTTATGTGTATCTATTATACATTTTGTTGATGATGCGGATTTTGTGGTAAAATGAAAAGTGTGTAATGTCTATAAATGCAATAAAATAAACATTTTATAGTAAACTAAACATTAGCCAAATATATGTGGTTTCCATACAATATCAACACATGTTTTAATTTCTAAAGTAGCAGTGATGCCAGCGAGATTGGTAAGTGTGTTACGAAATTGTTGCTATTGAAAAGCCAAAGCTGTTCAAGGAGCAAAATGTTATAAACTAGAATTTGGAAAACAAAAACTCTAATAAGTTTTTCTTGACTTTTTATGTTGTATGTCGATAATTTTTTCACAGACATACAAAGATGAACTAGATGAAGATCGAAAAAACGATCTTTATATTATGTTAAATGTAACATTTCACTATGTTGTGTAACAGTGTTATATTTCATAGCATATTTTAAGGCACTTTTAAAATATATTCAATATGAAGGAAATGTCAATTTACATTATAAATGTAATGGCAACTCTGAAGTTTTATAATTTTTCGTTTCCTGTACTTTCTCCTAAAAATAAAGCATAGTGAAATATTAGGCTGGTTCTTTATAAAAAAAATTAAAAACATTTTTGATTTAATTAATCTACTGATTTTCGATTGCATTTAAATAATAAATTATGTAATTGATTCTAATTATGGGCTCTAATATAAATACTAGTAGGACCATATACAACAAAAATTAAAATTTTAAGTACATGACTAGTGCATGCATGTTAGTGCATGTAATTAAAATATGTTACGTGTATGTTAGTGATATTATTATTTATTTCAGTGTATTGATAAAAACTAATATGTGCATAAAATAGTATGTATGTTAGATACATGGTTTATTTAAATTTTGAAAATTGCTGAAATAATTTACTTGTCTGCTTCGGAAGTTTTTAATCCGCAAAATAAAATTTATATTGATTTGTGTAAAAAAGAACAGAAATATCTATTCATTAAAGGCAATGAAACATCATTGTTGGAAGTTTATTTCCCAGCTAATTATCAATTCAATAAAATATGTACAAATATGTACTTACGTACAGAGTGTTATAGGGAAGCATTTATCAAAGAATCTCAAAGTTTGAGAATCTGAAAATACAGATTCAATTTGTCACCAATTCATCATTTTTTACCCACCATCAAATAAGATGTGGGGTATATTGATTTTGTCATTCCGTTTGTAACACATCGAAATACTGGCTTAAAAATATGAGTTATGAAATTTGCTACCGAATTACATTAGCGCTAATTACAGCGATGATATTCAATGTAAACAAGTTTTATATGAACCAAAATCGATGTACAAAAAGTTATGAGGATAGATCAATAATTGACCATACCCCTCATATAAGATCCTCTTTAGAAAAATTAATGAAGAAAATTCAGAAAATTGCTGGTACAGCGATGAAAATCGACATAAAAAGTTTATACTTAAGAACATAATTCTTCATTTAATGAAAAGTTCCCTTCAGCAAAAAGCTTTGGTTATTAAAATACGAGTTATTACGATGAAATTTTGCATAAAAAGGTTCTATAGAAAACGAAATCAATATACAAAATTTTATGAGTATCGGTTCATAATTGACGCATATTTAGGTCCTCTTCACAAAATTACTCATACGCTCACGGTTTAAAAATTGAACAAAAATATTTTGTTTTTAAAAATTAATATTTTGTTAGTTGAAAAGAGCTCGGTCCATAATGTTTATAGGGGAGCATTCCTTTTACGGCATACGGTTTGATGGTCGGTATATGAGATTCGGCACAGCCGAATATAACACTCTCACTTGTTTCTGTTCAACATGCCAAGAATGCCAAACAAATGCATCTACTTCCCTATTATGCATTTCGCTTAATCATCTGATAATCATCTAATAACCATGATATCCAAGAACATTCACGGACATACTTAACCCTTTCACGCACAAAACTAAACGGCAGGACTTTTTATGGATATAACATCACCACACACTTTATTTCGACGTATATTGATCACTTTTGTTGAAAAATGGATAAAGTGTTTCGACGATATCGAAGGATATTATCCTTTTTAGCATTTAGTGACATTCAAATTCTAAAAAAAATAACTTAATTTTCTTAAAATAACCATTTACTGTAGCTGTAAATTCAAAATTACGCTCTAAATCGAGAAAAAAATTTATTCGTGAAAGAATAAAGGCAAGACTCTCATGCGTGAACACCTTCCATGATGGCCTTACTTCATGGTGGTTCTTTTACAACCACAAAGTGAGCTGTTAGACGACTCACCACAGCCTGTTTGAGTGCCTTACAAATACGTTGGTAGCAGGTCCTTGTACAAGCAATTTGCTTAAATAATCGAGCTATCTAATGCTTAACCATTGCTGCGCCGTTGCGTTACTTCCGAGATGCAGAAACATCATATCCGTTTACAACCACGCAGATGGGATGGTCTCTGTTGATTCGACATCAGCACCTAGAGATGTAATATGTAGAACGAAAGACAAGGATGAGGCCCGCACATCTCTGTAACATATATAGTACATTTGACACCAACTCATTTCAAAAGCATAGCTCCGCAGTGGCTCTTCTCTTACTTTTTCGGCTACCGGTTCCCGTGGTACCACATTATATTGTACACCCAATACAAAAGTGACTAAACTCAAAAAATTCTTTTCAGAAAAGGGAACAAATTTTTTCTTCAACAGTTAACAACAATAAACATTTATCTTGTACTTAGTTTAAGGCTTAAATAATATAAAAATGCAAAAATAAAATTTTGAGTTGAGTCACTTTTTTTCTGGGTATGCGGTATGACTGTCTGGTTCAACCCTAGGCCAAATCAATCAGTTTATAATCCCGGCAGACTATAGGTACTGGCAGCATCTCTTTCCCCCCGGATTGCAATCACAACAAGATGAGGTAATCTGCCCCGGGAGGAGGCATGAGTCTCAGTTAACCGATCTTAAAATTACTTGTGAAGCATTTCAAATCATTCCCATATTTGCGATAAGGTAATAGCTTGATTTACTGTCAAGTAGTGTCAAAATGATCCCTTTTAATAAGACCACTCTTGAGATTTGAAGTCAGATAAATCATACAGAGTGGTTAGTTTGTTTTTCTTGAAACTGAAAGAATATTTTTGTGCATGTAATTAAAATATGTTACGTGTATGTTAGTGAAATTAGTATTTATTTCAGTGTATTGATAAAAACTAATATGTGCATAAAATAGTATGTATGTTAGATACATGGTTTATTTAAATTTTGAAAATTGCTGAAATAATTTACTTGTCTGCTTGGGAAGTTTTTAATCCACAAAATAAAATTTATATTGATTTGTGTAAAAAAGAACAGAAATATCTATTCATTAAAGGCAATGAAACATCATTGTTGGAAGTTTATTTCCCAGCTAATTATCAATTCAATAAAATATGTCCGTAAACATGTCTGATTACTTATGTACAGAGTGTTATAGGGACGCAATTATCAAAGAATCTCAAAGTTTGAACGAGACTTAACTCTAATGAGATTTGAAGTCAGATAAATCATACAGAGTGGTTAGTTTGTTTTTCTTGAAACTGAAAGAATATTTTTTTTTTAGACAGTGATGTATTATTAGTTTTGAGCCAGTTATGAAGTAATTTTCTGAAAGAGACCTTACAGAGCTATATGTTCATATCGTTTTTAAAACCAAGCAAATCCATTGAGCATATTTTTTGTAAATTTCAGCTTTTGAATGCGGATATCTCTGCATTAAAAACACTGAAATCATTTGAAAGAAAGTAGACACCAGATTCAACACAATGATTTTAAGTTCTTCATATAAAAATTCATTGGTAATGGAAAAATGTTCTCTTGTTTTTGCATTGTGTCTCCTATATACATATATATTGTCGGGCGTGGCCGACTATATGATACCCTACACCATGAGAATATTTGGAAAATTGTTTTTCATAAAGAAACTTTTATGTTGAATTTTACCTTAATTCCGATGTATTTAAGAAATTTTTTGATGAAAAACAAAATTTCTAAAAGAGGATTTATATTGGGGTTAGGGTCAAAATAGGCCGATCCCCAACAAATTGGTAGGAGGGATGTATTTTTATATAAAAGTTAGTTATGCTGAATTTCAGCGCGATACTAATGGTTATAAGTCTATATTTGGACGTTTAAGAAATTTATGGGGGCTAGAGTCAAACGACTAAAAATCATTATAAAAATCGGTACGGTCATTTATGCCTATATAAAATTTAGTTGTGCCATGTGGAGAGATAGTAGTATATTTGCCGTAGTTATGACTTAAAAACCCCAAATCGGAAGACATGCTAGTATGGGAGCTAGATTAAATAATGGACCGAGTTCTACCATTTTTGTGCTTAAAAAAATGGCCAATGGCTTAATCGACTCAGAAAGTGATTCTGAGTCGATCGATATACTTTAAGGTGGGTGTAGGACCAATACCCTATACTATAGTGATGTAGGGTATAATTAATATTATTATTTTAATATACAAACAATTTGCTCACAATTTAAATAAAACTCTCACTAATGATTTTCTTTATACAAAGTATTTATTTTTTCAATTATAAATTTTTTGGTTTTACTGTTATAAATTTCAAAGCTTTTTTTCATAATAATATTTTTTTTTTCTTTTTGGTTTAATTTTACATATTTACGAATAAATTCGTATGCATGTATGTGTTATTATTTATTTATAACATTTATTTAATATAGTTAATTTTATAAATTTTTGACACAGACATGTTAAATTCATACAATAAAATTATTTAATGGCATTTGTTTTTTTTTTTTTTTGTTATCTTATATCATTTTTAAATTATTTACTTTATATTTTCTAGTTATGTTCATTTAAATTTTCAATATAATTTTTATTCATATTTTGATTTTATTTGTGGAAATTGTTAGAAAAATTGATTTTATTAAATGTATTTTAGTTTTAATAAAAATGATGACTAAATATTTTATATAATTTTGTATAACCTCAAAAGTTGTATAAAAAGTTGTTGACATTTTGTAACTATTAAATGTTTAAACATAATAATAATAAAATTTTATTAAGTTCTGGAATGTTAAATTATATGTATCAGGATGAAAAATATAGTTTAAATTTAATAATTTTTAATAAATTGGCACATTAAATTTTTGTTATTTGGATAGCACTGACTATAAAGGACCAATTTTAAAATTTTTATTCCAAACTCATAAATTTTTGCAAAAATATTTTTAGGTGGTTTTTTGTTCAATCCTTAATCTTTTGTTTTACAAGTTAAAAAAAAATATATAGGCATTTTTATTGTAAATTTGGCTTTTTAGTTTTAAATATTTCTAAATTTTATTTGGTTTATTTTCTTTCTAAATATTTTATAATTTTCCATACACATACATTTTTAAAAGTTTTATTTTTTTTTTTGGACTGTGTGAATATTTCTATTAATATTTTTTTAAATATTTTTAATTTTACATACATTTAACACTTTATTTAATTTTCTATAAATATTTTATTTTTTTTATTTCTATAATAATTTTAAAGCACTTTTATTAAAAATTCATATTTTAATTAATTTCAAAGAAAAAAGTACACTTGGGTTAAGAATATGGAAAAATTAAAGAATTTTGAAACCTTTTCTAAAAGCAGCGATGTTTTTTAAAGAAATTGCTAATAAATATGTAAGTTAAAATTAGAGTAACATAAAAAAATTAAATCAAAAACAAATATTAAAAAATTTAAAACTTTCGAAATACACATTCGCTACAATTGATATTTCATATGCATAGTGGCGAGACTAGAAACGACGACTTTTTCGAAATGTTATATTCGAACTTAGAAATGTTATATTCGAACACATCTCCACATAATGTCCCTTCATAGAAATGTAAAAGTATCATCACAGTTATTTCAGAAAGAGACATTATATAAGGCTTTTGTCACATTTCGTTCGATTTTCACATAAACACAGGCATGGAAAATCAATAATTCGTAATAGTATTAACTAGGGTTCTATAGTTGAAACGATTTTTCGACTTTTTTCATTTAATTAAAAGTCTCCTTTTCGACTTTTAGTATTTTATAAATAGTCGACTTTTCAACATTTTCCGACTTTTTGACTTTATCCGACTTTTCGACTTTTTACGACTTTTCGACTTTTATTTACAAAGTCGACTTTTCGACTTTTTTCATAGACGATAGTCGAGTTATCGACTTTTCGACTTTTTTCGACAAAAAGTTGATTGTTCGATTATTCGAAAGTCGATTTATAGAACCCTAGTATTAACTTTTACCAAAAGTGTACTTTTAAGGATGAAAAAAACTAAATTATTTGTAGGATTATATGTGGGCAATTTCGTGTCAACCTAACTCGAAAAATTGATTTGAATGAAATTTGAACCAAGGTTATTACTATTGGATAGTAGGCTAGACACAAATTTTCAGCTCATCTGCTGGACGATTTTTGCTAGGACCAATAGGTGAAAAGTTACACTAATTTGAATAAAACCCCTTATAACCAAAATGTCTAACTTTGATCTCTTCTAAGTCCGGCAGTTTTGAATGGAAAGACATCGATTTTAATAGTTGAGTCACTTGACACGAAATTTCCTATATATGTATGTATCTTTTAACTAGTCCTCAATAGACTAATTCCTGGAATAGTCTATTGATTAATCAACGGATTAGTCTATTGACTAGACTATGGGCTACTGTATTGACATGTCTAGTTGCTAGTTTACAGAATAGCCTGTTGAGTAGTCTACGGACTAGTTTACTGACTACTGTGTGGGCTAGCAGTTGACTGTTCAATAGACTAGTCTATTTACCAGGCTTAGAGGGTAACAATTACAATTTCCTTGGGAAATAATTGTAACGGTAGCTTAAGCAATTACTATTACTTGTAATTGTAATTGAAGTTTTGCCACTTGAGTAATCTATTTACTAGTCTATTGACCACTGCGTGGACTATTAGTTTGACTGTTCAATAGACTAGTCTATTCACTATTCTATGGACTATACTATTAACGATTATATTTTCTATTAATGATTATCAATTACAACTTCCTTTGGAAATAATTTTAATTGTAGCTTAACCAATTACTATTACTTGTGATTGTAACTGAAATTTTGCAAATTACAATTACTTATAATTGTAATTCATGAATTTTTTCCTTTATAATTACATGTAACATTAATTGGTAATATCTAAATTACAATTACACGTAATGGTAATTGGTAAATTTTAATTATAATTATAAATAATTGAAATTTTGAAAACTTCAATTACAATTACAAGTAATTGTAATTTGCAAAACTTAAATTACAATTACAAATAATTGTAATTATCCAAACTTCAGTTACCATTAAAAGTAATTGTAATTGGTAAAGTTTTAGTTATAATTGCTTCAAATGTAATTATTATTGAAAATATAATCATTACCCCCAAGCCTGATTGGAAATAGTTGTTGGTTGGCAAAACTTCAAGTAATTGCCACTTCAATTACAATTATAAATAATTGTAATTAGTTATTGCTGAATGTAAGTAATTGTAATTGATCATGTAATGAATTACTTTATGTAATTCTATTATTTAGCCTGTAATTTACTAATATTTAGACAAATATCTACAGACTAGTCAACTGAATAGATTATTGGCTAATATTTGGGCTAATATATTAAGTAGGTTATTAAATAGTTTTTGGACTTGCCTAACAACTATTCTATTGACTACTTTATGGACTTGTCTGAGACCTGGTGAAATAATAGAGCGATATTATTCAACTCCAAGTCGACCCCACAGTCAAAATTCAATTACTACTGTAATCCGAATTAAACTCTTGAAACTTCAAAAAGAAACAAATAATGATTTCTAAACCAGAATGAATTTAATCTAAAATTTATGTTAGCAAATTATGTTTTTACCATTAATTTATTCTTTTTCATTATTTGCCCGTTACATTTTCATTTGACTTTTATTAACTAAAATAAAATAATTGTAGTTGGTCGGGTTGTTGCTGGTTTCCTTTCTGGCCACTTACATTGTATGCACTTGCAGAAATATTAATTGGACTCTCGACTATATATAAGCATTTTCGTAGACACAAAACAAACAAAACAAGAAGCATAATTTGAAAATAATAGTATTTGTAACTAAAACTCTATTTAAAGTAGTAATGAGGAAAGGAGCAAGAAGAGAAATAAAACTTATAACAAAACTATACAATACCGAAAGTTAAAATATGTATTTTGTTTTTCTTTTACTTTTTAAAGGAGGGATACAAAAAATTTCCAAAAGCCTCAACACTTTCATGAACTCACAAATGTTCTACATTCAAAGTACTTGACAACGGTGGTAAGTTAATGAAAGTACTGGGAAGACCAAATGTTAGATCTTGACTTAAAATTAAGGCTACTAAAGCAAAACATAAAATATGAGTAAAGGCAGCCACATTTGAAGATGCTGATGTTTGTGGTATAAATTGAGTGCGGAATTTTTCAACTTTTGTCCAATCACTTAAACCAGCCACATTACGTGATGCTGCTCGCACCAAATAGGTTGTGTTTGCCTCCAAATTGTTAAGCAGAAATGTTGCTCCTAAAAACACACAGGGGAGAAAAACAAATAAATCACAATCAATCACTCATGTTTTGGCCAACATTTTACATTGCTACTTAGTGACTACTTACCACTTTCATAATTGAAATCTTTACGTTTGGCATTCAACCATTTGCCAGAATCCTTTTTGAATTCCATTTCACTCATGTACTCAATACGATAGCCGTTCACCTCCATCTGAGGCTTAATGTTATTGGGACGTGTTACGGCCAATTCAATATCGAAAGTGTGTGAGTTTAAACCCCTCAATTGGATGGGATGTGGTGTGGGTGGTTTGACGCCACGCTTCAATACGAAATGACGTTCAATGCTGCCCAAATGATTTTTGACTTTACATTTGTAGATACTGAAAACACTTTCGTCGCCAGCCTTAATCAGCAGTATGGAGATGTAATTATCGTTTTCAATTGTAAAATGTTTATCGTTGTGTATTTGCTTTTTATTGCGATACCAAGTAAAATTGCCTGGTGGCTCTGCTACTGCTTCACATCTTAATGCAGTCGTACCATTCAAGTAGGTATAATAGTCCTTTTTATCATCGTGATGAGTCCACATGGGTTTGTCTGTATAATTGGGAAAAGATAAAAAAGGTTATGTGGAACAATGAAAGAAAAAATTGTTATGAAAGAGGAAGAATAATAATTTGGCTTTCTATAGACATGAGAAGAAAAAATGCGTTTTATGTGCCGTCTGTGGGAGAATTTCCCATAATGAGCAGTTAATTTGAAGTTTGGAAATATAAAGTTTTTTACATAGACATACATAGAAATCTGTATCTGAAGACATTAGTGTTTCGCTTTAAATTTCCAAGTAAAGTGCATGCAAAATTTCAGGTGAACCGCCCTGTTAAAACAAATATCATGATTTACGCAAAACGAATAAATGAAGGTATTACCCATGAAATTCAATTTATAATTAGTGAGCTTATACATACAATTTAATTTTATAGAACATTCAAATCAATTCTGTAATAAACACACAAATTAAAACAAAAAGATCCACATATCCAAAAATAATCGACTGTTGATTTGTTTTACTCTAAATAGAAAATAATAATCGGATACATCGTTTTCAAGAAAAATAATTTCTTAATATTTTATAATTTTAGCCGAAGACTAAGCATCGATAATTTTGACATGTCTTATTAAATAATCACTACGGTACGTATAAGTAATATTATAATGCGTGTGATAAGTTCACAACAGTCATACGCCTTCACTTACTTTTAATGCAAAAACTTATAAATACCCTCTAACAACCCTGAAAGTGAAGGACGTATAAAAGGAACACACCATTTATACCATAATATAAATTCTATAAAAATAATGAAAACGCAGCTTTTTAAGAACCACAAATATTTAAATAAATTAAAAACTGGTAAACAATCTCTAAAACCTAAAAAAGTGGTTTAACATGATTCAATTATATTTTTTAATAGAATAGTATAGTATAAAATTTACCTATTGCTACAATTTATATTTTCGTTAAATTTTTATAAAAAAAAGCACTATAAATATTTGAATAAAACAAATAAATACTGAACTCATGAAATTTCAATTTTAAAACTATTATGCTGTGATAACATAAAATAAATGAAAACATTTTTTGCTTTATTTGTTATTTTATTTTTTGTACTAAAACACTTTCAATTCCAATATAAATATAAAATCAGTCAGTAGCGCTTTTAGAATACCCTGCTAAATGTAAAATGTTAATGTGAACCATAAAATTTAAATTTATGTAGACATTTTCCCAAAACGTTCTCTTCTAACTAGAAAACCTTGATATTAAGATATTGATAAAATTTTATATAAACATTTCATGAGTGTGTTATATTCGGCCTTGCCGAATCACATATAACCACCATAAAACCGCATACAGTAGGGTAGGGTTAATTATGGACCGATCTTCATAAAATTTTGTAGAATTTGGTAAAATTTGGAGACTGTTCGAAAACGTGGAACGAACCATATAAGGAATATTTGTGAATTATTTCAACTTTCTATCTTTTTCCGTTTGGACGCTATATTGCTTTCAACAGACAGACGGACGGACTAGATCCTCTTTGAATAAAGACAAGCATATTGGGATAAGATCTAAACGATTATTGTTTAGAATACGAGATCAAAATATATCGAACAGGTGAAAAGTTTTCAATTAAAATATAACATCAGAATATCGTTTTGTGACAACATTTCAAAACATGTAATTGTAGTCTATAGAGTTAAGGATTTGTTGCTAGAAATGTATAAATTCATTATTTTCAAATCTATCATAATTAAAAATGTATCACTCATTTAATACATGATTGGTATTACTCAAAATCTAAGGTTTCGAGAAAAAGAACCGTTGAATGTTTTTCTCATCTCTTATCTAATAAACGTGAAAATAAGAACTTTAATTTTTTGACACTTACACCAAAAAAATTACTATAACATCGATAATGGACATTTTTGAAAATTTAAAAAACTACATATATACATATGTATGACAGATTTTACAGTACTCTGTGTAGGAATCCAGATTTTTGAATTATACATGTCTTATATGTAGTACAGGAGCGATATATGTTTTGAAACTTTAAATGAATATGTAACATTTAGAGTTTTAGCATGCGTAACAATGTGGGCAACAGTTACAGATGTCGAGACTGACTTAAAATACCAAACTCTGCCATTGATTTGTAGAAATCTAAGCGAAAACAGTCATAAAAAATATTCCATAACTTTTTCAAACCAAATATCATCTATGTGTTACAACAACTACATTTTTATATATAAAGGGTTTTCCAATAATTGTGTCTTTGATATTGTTGTTTGGGTAATGATTTTTCGTTATTCAACATAATGTCGTTGTTCCGACAAAAACAGTTTTACATATGTTTTTTGTTAGGTTTTCAGAAGAGCTAAAAAACTGCTTTATTTTATAATTTCGCGAACTATATTTGAAGTTATATGTTTCGTTCGAACGTAACCCCATTTGCCACACGAGTGTTGTAAACATATTCCAGAATGATTCGCCGTTTCTGATCTATAATTAAATATTTAATAAAAGCCCATATCCGATTTTGTTTCAAGCATTTTTGGAACAAAATATTTCTAAATTTGAATTTGATGGGTGTATGTATGACCAATAAAGGCATTAAATTAATAAAATATACATATTGAAAATTTTCACATGATGACAATATATCTAAAATATTTGTAAAATTAACTAATGTTAACCCATAAACTATGAACCTATAACCCATAGAATGTCAAAATCAAATTATGCAATTTTTGGGAAACTTTATTGCAATCGTAGTGAAATATTATTTAATTTCCAACCAATTTAAATGAAATTTAAGAAAAATATATAATAAAGATATTCATAATGACATCGAAAAAAATGATTTTAACCCTTAAACGTTCATATATCTATAACTAAATAAATTTTTTCTCATCTAAGACAACAAGAAATCGAGTCAGATGGTTTTTAAGAGTTTTCGCAACCCTTCATTTCGTTAACCTATGTAATTGATGGCATCACTTCACAAAATCTACCTTATATCTGCAGCAGAGTTATTGCCACATCGATTCACCCTTGTTGGAAAACCCTATAGTATTGAGGGAAAAGGTCTATACATACAGTTCAAAAATAAATCTAGCATCAAACAGGAATAAGCAACCAGCTATAAAAATTGTATAAACTACATAGCAAAAGAAATAATCGAACTAAAAGACAACCAACAAAACAAAAATAAAATTGTTGTGTTCGTATTCTCTAGAATACAACCATAGCTATAAATATGTATTTAAAGAGTGCACCATGCATAAACGTATAGTACGTAACACTTAGACCCGGATCAGCCCGCAGCATTGCAAATTTACTTAAAAGTACCAGACTAATCATGGTTATTTTTTAACCATTTCCAAGCAAAATTTGTGAAGGAGCTGCCTCAAATCATATATCAAATTTGCAATAGGTTGGCGGCAAATCCTATAGACCAATAAGTTTAAGTTCACTTTTCTGACTTATGCTGCCTTAGTTTGGTGGAAAAAAGTGGAGCAGGCCACCACTCGGGCCTCTCTGGACGAACATTCTCGTCTCGTCTGCGTCTCTATTACGGGGGTCATAAGAATATGTCCTACATATGCCATTGGTTCTATTCTTCACATACTACCATATTCTTATTAAAGATGAGGCCTGTAAATCGGCAATTCGCCTACCGGAAATCGCCATCAAATTATTCATCAACGACCCATATATCTGCGTCCATGATTGTGGGTCACCAACATTGGTTTTTGACCGTTCCTTCGAGGTTATGATACCTGAAACTAACAAATGGGTCAACATACTGGAGCAGACATTTGTGGTCCTTACTTCCAGAAGGCAATCTCCATAGGAAAATATTCCTCAATATTTTAGGCGGAAATCTATGCCATCTTCATCTATGCTAGAGAGTGCGTGAGGAGAAAGTTAAGGGCAAAGAATATAAAGAAATTGGGGCTTGTCAGTTGGTACGTAAAGGAGTTGTCATTCGGTACCTAACTCTAAGTATGTATTGGTAGAATTTTTGTATTAGTATTGGAGCTCCAACCACTTTCACCACACTTTCCAAACATACATACTTGCATAAAATCGTACATACAAATTTTAGGAAAAATAAATAACATTTAAATTTCTACATTCGCAGATTTTTTAATTTATTTTGCCCACATCTAATCAGTAAATATTTAATAAATATATTTTTCGGACTTAAAATCTCTTTTTTTTTTTGCAAAAAATAAGTTTATTTTAAATAATTTTTTCATTTTCAATACCAAAATATACAACTTTGTTTTGTCAATTTTAATTTCAACACACAAAAATTAATTGTCAAAAAAATTAAAAAAATATTTTTTTAGTTTGTGAAAAATAAAAATATTTCGGATTGTTAAATGCGATAAAATTGTGTAAAAAAATAAAAAATAGTTATGTATTTGTGAAAAAACGTCGTTCAAGTCCTATTATCCCGGTATTTTCGCGAAAAAGTTTTGAAGTATTGTGAGAGAATTGAGTTCTCACAAGTGTGTTGAATTTACACAGAACTCGTCTGTGAAGAGAAGGAAATGTTATTGTTGTAAAACAATGTCATAGTCCAACTTCTTATTATTCTTTGGTTAAGGGTTCTGAGAATTTACATAATGTCGGACAGCTAATCAGAACTCAAGGCCTTACTTTCGTATGAAGTTAGGTCGGGCGTTGTGATGTACTGTGTGTCATCATTGAACGAACTGGTTAAACACAACAAATTAACAATGTGTTGGGTACCTGGCCATGAAGGTCATTCTGACAACAAACCGGCGGACTGCTTAGCAAATAGAGGTGCTCTTCGCACACTTATCGGCCCTGAACCATTCTTTGGTATCCCTCAAGGTTACGTCAGACAATGATGCGTATCGTGGGTCGAATCGGAATTTGCTCGCCACTGGGAAGCAACAACAGGGCTTAGAGAGACAAAGCGCTTAATAACAATATCAAGAGGAAAATCCCAAAAGTAGTTATCGCTTAACGAAAGTGATCTCAGAATACTAACGGGACTACTGATGGGACACTGTCTCAGATATCATCAATTCATTGTAGGAAACGCCATATCGAAGCTATGAAGATTTTGTGGCTGTCAGGAGGAAACACAAATGTCCAACACTAAGGAATCGTCGAGAAAGAATATTAGGTGCTGCAACACTATCCCGAAGGATATATTCAACCTCTCACCAATCAAACCTGTTATTTTCATACGTGAATTAAACCTGTTATGGTGAATTCATGGGCTGCACAAAAAGATCCAAAACAAGGTGCTTAGGGCTCTCTCTAATCTAATCTAATGATTAAGTACGGAAATCATAAAAATAATCCCCTAAAAAATTTCTGAACAGATTTTTATGTATTAAATAATATTGTACCTGTCTAACCGAAGTTTTAGAGAAGCAAACGAAAATTTAAATTTTAACCATTCAAATTGTAACGACTAATAAAAAAAGAAAACCGACACAGGTACATATATCGAGGTCATACTGTATAAATGTTTATATATGCAAAAATATTTGTTATAAATCACACTCACGTTCAATTTTCATCAGAACTGTACGCTCTTGCATATCGGATGCAATGGGATTGACTTGATAAGCACGACACGTATATTCGCCAGTATCGTTTTGTGTAACTGTGTTGATGAGTAATCCATCACCTAAAATTTGAAATTTTGTTGAATTGACTGGAAATAGAGAAAAAAATGGGAAGAGATAGAAAAAAAAGAGAAATAGTAAAAAATATTAGAAAAAAACTTGTCATAGAATGAATGGGTAAAAAATATCGTCAATACAATAAAGGTAATTTAGTTGTATTCTTGCATAAATCTATGTATGTATAAAAACAAGTTGTTGTGGATGTGTTGTAGGAACCACCCAACATATTTATGGCAGCAGTTTTAAAGGGGATAAATGAGAGACTTTTTTCCCCCTAATGTTTCTACATAATCCAGGGTATTCTCAATTGATTTCTACTTAGGATAGGTAAGTCAAAGTAACTATTTCCATAGCTTATTGTGTAGTATTAAGAACACTCATTTGCTTCAGTCATCAAGAACTGCTGGTATATGTATTCTATCATAGGTGCATGAAAGTGATATATAATATTTTTGTTTAAAACAAATTTAAATTGGATTAATATTCTAAGCGGATGATATTGGTTTAATTTTGATTGAATATCTTTTGTATCTCATAAAGTTGATTAAAAAATGTTTTTATATTTGAAAACAAGTAAAAGTATTAAAGTTCAAATATCTTTAAGAAGATAAAATAGGAAAACTATTAATGAACTTTTGAATTTTTTGCTTTAGAACGTGTTGTAGAGTTAAATGAAAGCAAATAACACAGATTAATTATTGTATCCAGAGCAAAGTATTTTTTTCTAAAAGTCTTAACAGCACTGAATCCGAATCTGTTTTTGCGCTTTTATAACATCTCGAATTTGGCCAAAAGTTACCTCGAAAACCTAATGAGATGGATGTATTTGGATTCGGTTTTATAACGGTTCTGTCCTCTTGAAAATTCCCTGGGTTTTAACTCTTTAAAATATTGTCGGTATAATACTCACTATCAACTGCAATTGGTAGACCATTGAAATGCCATGTTATATTTGGTTGTGGTTCGCCCTTAACTTCGCATAGTATTGTGGCATTTTGTCCCTCTTTCACTGTTAAAATGGTGGTATTTTCAGTAAAGGTAATTTTTTCTATAAGAAAGCAAAGAAAACAATAGAAATAATAAATTACAATTTTTGCTTCATCTAGTTCGATTTTTTTTTTCAACCATACATCAATTAGCTTGCTATTGTTGTCTGTGAAACAAATACTTACGAAAAACTATTAGTTCAAAGATTTTTTCTGCTTTACCACCTGTGGTATCCTCACAGATCCAATTGCCCTTATCGGCCAATGAAATGTGCATGAAAACCAATTTTAATTCTTCTGTAATAAAAGGAAAAGAAATGGTTAAAATATTGTTTACGATGCTAGTAGAAAACAAGTTAGAGTGCTATATTCGGCTGAGCCGAAACTTAAGTACCCTCCACCAGCTACTTTTACATTAATACTTGTTTAACAAATCAATTATTTGTAGAAATAAGTTTTATATGGATATCTTAATTTAGGATATCTTAATTTAGTAGTGAGTTATGCGCGTTTAAGTGATTTTCGGGAGGGGACCTTGTATGGGAGCTATGACCAATTATGAACCGATTGGAAAAAAACTTTCACAGTAATATTCCTGTGCATATGGGCAATACTTATACCAAATTTTATATGGATATCTTAATTTAGTAATTCATTATGCGCGTTTAAGTGATTTTCGGGAGGGGACCTTGTATGGGAGCTATGACTAATTATGAACCTATCCTAAAAACCTTTAACAGTAATATTTCTGTATATAAGGGCAATACTTGTACCAAAGTTTATATAGATATCTTAATTTACTAATGAGTTTTGTGGTTTTAAGTGATTTTCGGGAGGGGACCTTGTATGGGAGCTATGACCAATTATGAACCGATTGGAAAAAAACTTTCACAGTAATATTTCTGTGCATATGGGCAATACTTGTACCACCGATTCTGGCAATTTTCAGCAGGAATCAAGCTCTTGTGTAGAAACGAATATATGCTGAAATGCTGGAAATTTACATCAGAATGTCTAAGAAATGCTTATTTTTTTCCGAGTTGTTTTAAATTTTGATTCATAACTTTTCCCGATGTGAACCGATTTTTCTCATTTTCAATACCAAACAATTTAGGAAAATGAAGAAAATTTTGGGTGAATTTGGTTAAATTCGATTGCTTCATTTTATCGTGAGCGTATTTTAAACAGACAGACGGATAGACGGACATAGCTAAATCGACTGAGAATTTGATAATGACCCAGAATATACATACTTTGTTGGGTGTCAGATGAATATTTCTTGGTGTTACACACGGAATGACAAAGTTATATATACCCTCTATCACCACTGATGGTGGTGGAGGGTATAAAAATATAATAAATCTACCATTAAGATGAACTTGCAATATGCTTTCTGAATTAATAGCATGATTAGTTTTGACAGCTTAATCTCAATTTTGGAAAATTACAAACTTATTGCCTTGAAAATACTAAAATTCAACTAATGTATGAAAATACTAAAATTCAACTATGTATGTATGTCAAAATCCTCTACGGGACTAAAGGCTTAAACGTAATAAGCTTCTTTATTGTTCACTACACTGACCACACTATAACAAATGTTTTAACGAATAAACAAAAAAATAACCATTATTTAGTGGAGAAAAACAGCTTGTTTTACAACGTGTTAACAATGCCATTAAATACGCATTAAAAATATCCGCCTGTGGCATTTTATTACACTGTAAGTACACAAATACTAACATTTTATTATCAGAATCTCACCCACACGCCGAAAAACTACTTATATTAAAGACAAACCTACACACATAAATACATTCACACTATTCATTTGTATAATGTCAGGGGAGAAAAAAAAAAAAAAACAATGTAAGTTCAATGTACCCACCTGGTTTTGAACTCGGTTCAATGTGTATACGTCCTTTATGCTCTTCGATTATTTGACCTTTTGGCGACTTCCAGTGTAGTTTAACTTCCGGTGTTGGACTGCGACACAACATTATCAACGATTCGTTTGTATAACGTACCATTGTTGGTTCAGAGGGTATCAACGTTAGGCCATCGACATCGCCCCCAGCATCGGTATCAGTTTTGTGATGATTGCCATAGACAAAACCTATAAACCAGCAGCAGTGAAATATCAACAGGAATAGCATGTAAGGGGAAGAGAAAAACGAGAAAAAAAGTAAATGATATAAAGGTAATTAGTTGAACATGATGGCAGGAGTAGTACTAAACAAAAGGCAAAGATTAAATGTATATTGTTACTTAAAGTAAGCTGTAAATGACACTTTCTTCATATATGTACACTTAATAAAATAAACCACAAATGTATTAGGGTTACACTTTTAATTTTTTTTTTAATTTACGACACTTTTTTGGTTATCATTCCATAATTGGTAATAGACCCGCATTAAGGCTTACTACAGAAAATATGTTTCTATCGGTTTTGGTGCATAATTATAAAATTTTGAGGGATATGTTTTTTAAAGATAATAGGAACAAAAAATGTTTTTCTTTTTTGATTATTTAATTTAATATCTGAGCTCATAAGCAAAATGCCAAGGTATCCCACGCTGATTTAAAGGAATTCCTCCAAGTCGACCTAAGTATATCTTTATATAGGATGCTGGAAACCTTTAAACACTTAAATAAATTAAGAGGATTCTTAATGGTACTCCACCAGTAAAGTTGAAGACTTTTAATGGTCTCCACCAGGGTATAAACGTTCGAATATTCTATTCTAGAAAGCATAACCTTACTTAAAGGTGATACAAAAGCACGAGGTTAATGTAGACAACGCATAACATTGAACAGTTACACGAAGTAATACACTACACCAATGCGAGCGAGATGCAAAACTGTCGAATGCGCGGCAACAAACACATGTCTGAACGTGTTTAAGAAATAATCGCGATTACGCGAGAGTTGTTCCCCAATTCAGACCTGAATTACGACTAATAGAAAACAGAAAATAGTTTATGACACCATTGTTTAACACACAAAGGAAAAAAGACATATACACGCCTGGTACCAAATTGACACCAAACTGTTTATAATTTTTCAATAACAAAGTATAATTGTAATTGAAGTTTTGCCAATTACAATTATTTGTAATTGTAATTGAAGTTTTGACAATTACAATTACTTGTAGTTGTAATTGAAGTTTTGCCAATAATAATTACTTGTAATTGTTATTAAAATTTTCCAATTAAAATTACTTGTAATTGTGAATTTTGTACCTTATAGTTACATGTAATTTGTAATTAGTAATACCTTAATTACAATTACAAGTAATTTTAATTGGAAAATTTCAATAACAATTACAAGTAATTATTATTGGCAAAACTTCAATTACAATTACAAGTAATTGTAATTGGTTATTGGTCAATTACACATTACAAGTAATTGTAATTGACCATGTAATAAATTACTTTGTGTAATCATTACCCCCATGCCTGGTATGTATATACTTTGACAACGGATGTTATTGAAAAATTATAAACACTTTGATGTCAATTTGGTACCAGGCGTGTATATTTATTTTTTCCTCTGTGCATGAATGAGTTTTAAAGCCAATTTTGTTTCAACAAAATTGTATTAATTACAGGCCAACGACAAAAAGAACTTTTTTTTTTACATTGATGTCCTAAGTAGTTTAGTATTGAAAATCAGCAAAATCGCTTTACAACTTAAAAAGTTATGAGTAAAAATTTCGGACTACCTACAAAAAAATTGAGGTTTTTCCTTATTCTTGAATAGTTTTCTCAGAAACTACCAAAGCTAATTCGATGAGTTTTGTCACATAATATGAATATGAATTGTACTACCGACTTAGATCTGTATTGGTCCACTATTGGTCATAGCTCCCATATTTCATTGACAAATAAATACATCGGGATAAAATTCTATATAACTATGTTTCCTGTATATTTGAATTACTCTACGAAATTTTTCCGGATCAGTTCTTAATAGTTTTGCCCAAAGTCATGCACATTTTCATGGAACCCCAAAGGTGTGGTCCGCCGGTGTCATTATTTTCTCAGGCTCATATCTTGCAAACCGTTAGTAATTTAGATTTGCACTCTGAGGCAAAGTGGTAAATATGTATATAAAATCGAAACAAGTAAGATTGCTATATTCGGCTATGCCGAATCTAATATAGCCACCATCAAAAATTTGCCAGGGAGGATTTTGATCGTAGTAGACTTACTTATGTCAAATTTCATTGTTTTACTTGTATTTTTAAGCCAGTAATGACCGTTAAAGTCATTTTTCGAAGGGGACGTAGGGTCAGTTATGGAACCACCACATAAAATTTGATAAAGACATAGGTCGCATTAAACTTATGTGTCAGCAATGATTTTGGCTCATAAGAGACTTATTTATATCGAATTTCATCGATATTCTCGTATTATAATACATATGTGCCAAATTGTATGAAAGAGATATGCCCGTTGAAGCTGTTTTTTTGGGGTCTACTTGTATGGGGGCTATCCGAAAATGAAGACCGATATTACCCATTTTCAATATCAAACAATCCTTATCTATAGTGAATATTTGTGAAAAATTTCAAATCTCTAGCTCATTCCGTTCGGACTCGATCATGCTTTCAACAGACAGACAGACGGACGGACATGGCTAGATCGTCTTAGAATTTAATAACGACTTTTGTGGGTCTATGACCAATATTTCGATGTGTTACAAATGGAATAACAAAATCAATATACCCTCCATCTTTTTTGATGGTAGGTATAAAAACTTCATTTCAAGTGGAAAGTTTTACATTGCGAAAATGCACTGCCTTTATTAACGATACCTGTACGTATACGTGTTAATGATTTATTTATATTGCAAATATTAAGTATACGCCTAATTTAGAGAAGCACATTTCTATGCGATCTTATCTACATGTATATTATTTTATAAAATCTTACTTTATTTCTTCAATTTTAATTTTATAATTTTTACAGAACTATGTCATGTTTCTTTTTCAAAACTTTAAAAAAATATTTCTTATCAGTTTCATTTTTTGTTTTATGCCAGTTTTATGGAGCAGCAAAATAACCAAAAGAACTAAGAACCCACACTATTCTACAACACAAAAGGTTGTGTAAGTTTTTAGGTAAAACACTCAGGTGTAACTATTGTTATCAGCAATTTTTGCATTTTTATAAAGTTTTTTTTTTTTTTACTGCGTTTTCTCAAGTGCATTCCAAAAAGTTAGTACGTACATAGGTAAGTAACTCTACTTATAGTACTATGCTGCTGTTTTTTTTTTATCCCATTGACCATGTTTAAAGTATTTTTCTATGATTTTTTTTTCCTTTTTACGATTTTATGACTTTAAAGGGGATTTGAAAGTTAAGCTGTTTGCTAAGAGATTTCCATTCATTTCTTAGTTTTTTATTATGTTGCTGTAATGGAAGATTTTAGACATTTTTCTGTTTCCAAAATACTCTAAGCTGATAAAGATACTAATAGGTTTAGCAATTTCAAAAATGCATTCAAATAAAATTATACAATTTTAGTTTTTTTTTTCTTAAATGGCAGTTGAATAACAACTAAAACTTAAATTGAAAAACTATTCACTTAGTCGTAGTCACTCGAGTGTATAGGAATGTAAAAAAAAAAATTGTATTAAAACATTACGAATATAATTGATTTTTTATAGCTTTATAGTAAAATATTTTAATGAAATTTAGTTAATCTTAAGAGAAGGAATTTTGAAAAGAGTGGGTTGGTTGATAAAAAAATTCAACTCAAATACTTATACAGTTTAGGCCAACTATAATAAAATAGTGGAATGTCTGTACATTCAGAATCTTACATTCAGTTGTATGAATGATCGTCCATATAGGCAGTGAATTACATGTCTAATTCGGACGAATTGAGAAAGCTGTAAGTTAGATGAAGCCAAAAGTGGCGATAAACTGCCGAAAGGCATAAAGCTTATTAGTTATAGTTAGTTAGTTAGTTAGTTAGTTAGTAGTTAGTTAGTAGTTAGTTAGTTAGTTAGTTAGTAGTTAGTTAGTTAGTTAGTTAGTTAGTTAGTTAGTAGTTAGTTAGTTAGTTAGTTAGTTAGTTAGTTAGTTAGTTAGTTAGTTAGTTAGTTAGTTAGTTAGTTAGTTAGTTAGTTAGTTAGTTAGTTAGTTAGTAGTTAGTTAGTTAGTTAGTTAGTTAGTTAGTTAGTTAGTTAGTTAGTTAGTTAGTTAGTAGTTAGTTAGTTAGTTAGTAGTTAGTTAGTTAGTAGTTAGTTAGTTAGTTAGTTAGTTAGTTAGTTAGTAGTTAGTTAGTTAGTTAGTATAGTTAGTTAGTTAGTTAGTTAGTTAGTTAGTTAGTTAGTTAGTTAGTTAGTTAGTTAGTTAGTTAGTTAGTTAGTTAGTTAGTTAGTTAGTTAGTTAGTAGTTAGTTAGTTAGTAGTTAGTTAGTAGTTAGTTAGTTAGTTAGTTAGTTAGTTAGTAGTTAGTTAGTTAGTTAGTTAGTTAGTTAGTTAGTTAGTTAGTTAGTTAGTTAGTTAGTTAGTTAGTTAGTTAGTTAGTTAGTTAGTTAGTTAGTTAGTTAGTTAGTTAGTTAGTTAGTAGTTAGTTAGTTAGTTAGTTAGTTAGTAGTTAGTTAGTTAGTTAGTTAGTTAGTTAGTTAGTTAGTTAGTTAGTTAGTTAGTTAGTTAGTTAGTTAGTTAGTTAGTTAGTTAGTTAGTTAGTTAGTTAGTTAGTTAGTAGTTAGTTAGTTAGTTAGTAGTTAGTTAGTTAGTTAGTAGTTAGTTAGTTAGTTAGTTAGTTAGTTAGTAGTAGTTAGTTAGTTAGTTAGTTAGTTAGTTAGTTAGTTAGTTAGTTAGTTAGTTAGTTAGTTAGTTAGTTAGTTAGTTAGTTAGTTAGTTAGTTAGTTAGTTAGTTAGTTAGTTAGTTAGTTAGTTAGTTAGTAGTTAGTTAGTTAGTTAGTTAGTTAGTTAGTTAGTAGTTAGTTAGTTAGTTAGTTAGTTAGTTAGTTAGTTAGTTAGTTAGTAGTTAGTTAGTTAGTTAGTTAGTTAGTTATATAGGATCCCGATATAGGATCCCGTCAAATGAATTATTAGCGTTTTTTGGTATGTGAGTAAGTAAATTGTAAAAACTAATT